ACCATTTGTAACAGTTTCAGAAATATCCATCAACCATTTGTAACAGTTTCAGAAATATCCATCAACCATTTGTAACAGTTTCAGAAATATTCATCAACCATTTGTAACAGTTTTAGAAATATCCATCAACCATTTGTAACAGTTTTAAAAATATCCATCAACCATTTGTAACAGTTTTAGAAATATCCATCAACCATTTGTAACAGTTTTAGAAATATCCATCAACCATTTGTAACAGTTTCAGAAATATCCATCAACCATTTGTAACAGTTTTAGAAATATCCATCAACCATTTGTGTAAGTAACCAAAGTCGTGTCAAAAGTATAATTTCGTTTAAAATTGTTTTATAACAGTAACATTTTCTTGTATCTTTTCGAAATTGAACGAAGTTTGACTTTGTTAGTTATATAAAGTAGGCCTACACTATTTCCGAAAAATAACTGATTTCGACTCAACCATAGCGATTTTGATGTCGGATTACAGGGATAAAAATCTGAATCTTTAGGACAAGTGTGTCGCCATTTAGAGTTTTTGTATACTGATGATAAATACATAGCATGTCCTAATATTCGATTGGGAATATATATATATATATATATATATATATATATGCATTCCAAATGAAAATCTGACTCTCTGTTCCTTAGCATTTCAGAAAAAATTCTTTTAAACCCATTGGAATTAATCATTATTGCGCTATCTAATTGAAATGAGCTATAAACCTATAACATATCACAGTAACGTTTCTAGAGTTAGAGCTATTGGTGTTCATAAACTCATCAAAACTAGTGTAAACTACTTATCTACATGTACAATTTATGTAGTACAAGAAAATTAAACCCTAAACTTCATCAAAATACGATCATTACTGCCGATATAGCGTCAAAGATAATTAGTTCCACGTCTCGGGCACTGACGTAAACAATCATTACGTCATAACATGGCGTCTGGTGATGACGAAAGCTATGAACATGACTCTGAAATAAACTACTTATAACTTACAGATATTTTAAATTGTTTTGATCTTATCTTCGAGCCTTTATCCTCTTAATTTATACTAATGCAGGAAGATTCGACTGTTGAAATTTTACCCCTTTTTAATGAACTTCTTGAAACCAGAGATTCTATTCAGATTGGGGCTATGATAGATAGAACCACTTAACTTTAAAAGTGTGGCTCTGGTAGGCCTACAACACAAAGAATGTTCATTCAAAAGTCGATAATCATAGAGAATCATTTGCTTGGTCACTTGGAACTAGTATTGGCCATGATTAGATAATTAAGTTAGAGGGACAGTTTGACCAATCGTAGGCCTTAGTCCTAGAAACGGGAATTTTTTTTTAGCTGAGGTAATCAATAATAGTGTTCACAGCTCACTGCCGAAATCCAAATGCATCCATGAATTATCAGAGGTGGGATGTTAAAATGACGACTCGTTTTTTTTTTAGACTTTTTCATATGCAGATAAGACATATAGAAATAGAAAGTGAAGTTCATAGTTTCTGAAGGAATTATGCGATTTTCTTACATTTCTGTCAGGCCTACTTCTTGACGACTATTAACGTATATTCAACCTACGATCTGTCCTTTTAAGAGAAAAAAAAACTGAACTAATTAAGTTTCATACGTTGGAGGAGAAATGGAAAAGACTAAGCCAAATCAACTAACGTGACCGATTCGAATTTGAATATGAAATAAGAGTTATAGAAAAAAGATTTGGTTTGTTACTTAAAAATGTGTTCAACTATTTATTTTAAAAATATCCAAGTTATCTGACGCTGAAAATTATCGAAAATCTTGATAACGTAACACTCCAATGATAACAGATAGGTAAATATAGGTCTGGGTATACGTGATAGATAACTGATATACATATATATACATTTTTATAATTATCATCTACGTGACCAAATATGGCCTTTGCTTAAATTTGTCATATGTCCACTTGCCTTCATAATGTAGCAATTTCCAATTGGCTCAGAGTCAGTAAATGTTGTCAATGTTCTCTTGCCTCTGTGTTAAGAATGTAGCAATGCCTCTGTGTTCAGAATTTAGACGTTTACTTGAACCAGTCAGTAAATCTACTCCGCGTCTACTATGTTCAGAATGTAGAAATGACCATTAGCCTCTGTGTTAAGAATGAAAACAATATCCACTTGCACCCCAGTCAGAAAATCTCGAAATGTTCATTTGCCTCATCGTTTAGAATGTAGTCCATATCCGCTAGTTTCAGAGCCATGTACACTAGTTTAAGGGCATGTCCGCTAGTTTCAGAGCCATGTACGCTAGTTTCAGAGCCATGTCCACTAGTTTCAGAGCCATGTCCACTAGTTTCAGAGCCATGTCCACTAGTTTCAGAGCCATGTACACTAGTTTTAGAGCCATGTCCGCTAGTTTAAGGGCATGTACGCTAGCTAGTAAGTGAACTAGAAATTTCCAATTGCGCCTGTGTTCAGAATGTAGACAATGTCTCTTCGCTAAATCTATAAATCTATAGCTTGCCTCTGTGTTGAGAATGTTAAGTGGTATCGGAAGGGTTGCTGACCATAATGACATCCTAAATATTATATAAATGTGTCATACACCGATTGTCTATAGAGAATAGAGAGCTCGCTTTGACAGACAAAGCTCTGGAAATGACCATAGCTCAAATTATAAACAAAGGGAAGGCAATAACCTATAATCAAATATATCTATATACGAAAATAACAACTATGGAAGACATTCTGGGTCAAAATTTTTATACATTATCATATTCGCTAAAATAACTCTTTACATCCTATTAGGAAATTCGTTTTATAATTTAAAATGATTATTTAATTGTCGTCATTAACCCAATGATACACAAAATAAAATGATCTCCATTCTACCCTACAAGAACAAATTGGAGATTGAAACAGAATGTCTTCCATACACATTTTCTAATTTTTTTGTGCGCAATTGTTTTTTTCCATATTAGGTCTGAGGTCATCAATAGAAAACAAAATAAAAGTAGAACTAATGATGACCTATATTTATAATCTATGCACTGTATAGATATAAAACTGCAGCCAGATACAGTCAGTTTGTACTTATCACTAGGTTCAAAGGTCAGTTATATCAGAACGTGATCCGACATACACAACAGTCGGATATCTGAGTCAAGGTTAAGATGGCGTAATGTTCTCGGATATAGCCTGCATTTGTTTTATTGTTACAGACACAGGAGCCCGAAAGTCAGACTGTTCTTTCAAAGGTTCTCAGGCAGCTATCCCCAAAACATCTTAAATTGGGCTTCCACCAAGGCAATTTAAACGTCTAGGCCTACAGCACATTCCCAGGACTAACTGTCTTCACTATGTCAAACTATTACTAACTCCGTAAAAAACCTTGCCTCTATTAGACATTTTTTCCTGTATGGTGGAAATAAGATTTGATTTGGTTGATGGCAAGTTATTAGACGGAGTTCATGATAGCTTAGTATTGTGAATATGAGGCCTTATATGCTTATATTTAATGAACGTATATCACATTGTACAGTTTCAGATTTTCATCTGTAGCAAATTACTAAGTTGCCCTAACGGAAGTAGTTAATCTGTTTCAATATCACAGTAGCCCTAAATAAAGTAGCTCAAATTGGAATTAGTCCAAACGGGAAGACACCGTATAGATGATATATAGACATAGCTTAATGATGTCAAGTGATTGTGCTAGCAAGACAAATAATTAATGGGACACTTCTTACCAATTTGCGACAAGGTTTGTTAACTTGATTCCCTTTCTGATAATCCGTTGTCTGTTGTTGTCGTTCCTTGCTCTATGTGACCATGTATATCTTGTTATAATAAATTGTATGAATGCGACTGCAAAGAACGACAACTCTGTATGAGAGAATGGATTGTGCACGAGATACTTTTCGTACAGAAATGAATCGACAGTTTCGACTAATAATTACTAGATAAATTAAAAATAAAGTCGTACATGATTAAGAATTGTGTCAGATATCATATAAGGATTCGAATATTTAACATCTCCTTCAGAAAGATAACAACAGTCTAGTCTAAATCTCCAGTGGAACATACAACTCCACGTTATTGCCAGTGATATATCAGCATGTTTCGTGGGGCAGCTATCATCGCTCTATGTTCACTGGCCCTAGTCATTCCCACCCTGACCTGGAGAAATAAAGTCGATTGGGAAGATGAGGATGGTGACTGGTTTCAGAGTGATGATCCTATGATGAATGATGATGTTGGTTTGGGATCTTCTAAAAATGATGGTATGATATCTTTATATACAATTAATACAAACGCCCCCCCCCCACCCCCCACCTCCAAATAATCCTTTCTGTATTCACCAAACGTTTGTTTACAAAGACTTCTTTCACAATTTTGACCAATAAAAGAAGATACATTATTCTTTGGAGGTAGTTTTTGTCCAGCTAAAATTATGATGATGGTGGTTTTGGATCTTCTAAAAATGGTGGTATTTATATCTTTATATATAATTTATACAATCATACAGACACCCCCTCCCGTTCTAACAGATTGAAATCTTACTTCACAAAACATGATGTGAAATTGAACTCATAATGTTCCTTTAGAAGACTCGTTATTTCTTGCATTAGCTACATTTTGTGTTTTTTTTCATAGTTTCACTCTTTACCCAGATGAAATTGTCCTACCTTTTATGACTCCCATTAAGATAGACATTTAGGTGAAATTGGTTGTAAAAACAAATTATAATTGAAATTACGAAAGCACAGGCCGAAGACAAAATTTGGTGACAGTATTTGTTCGTAGTCTGGTATACATAAGGCTCGTGAAAATCCAACTCCACTCAATGGCGGAGAGTCCTAATTAGGTACCAAGCCTAAATTATATTGTCATAGAGATTATTTTGGATATGACGAATAAAGAGTCAACCTCACCCTGCCTAATTTGATCCCTTTTCATCATTTTGTCTGTTTTATTTTCCAGCCAAAGTGTATAACCAGAACGGAGCAGCGTTTATCAAACACATGTTTCATTATAATAGTATAATGCAGTTAAATGGAAGAATAAATGACACATTATCAGCTAGTTATACCTATCTTACATTGGTATGTATCTTATTGGTCTGGAGTTAGCTTCGACAGATAACCCTTGATCCATCAGGCGTGCGATTGTGTGATGTGCGATTGATATGATCTTCGTAATATTTTAGAATATTTACTGTAGCTCAAAGTGTCCATTGGCCGAATTGAAACTGGTCAAAATGACATCTATCTCTTGCCAATGACCATATAATCAGAATACAACTCATCTAACAGAACATATTCCTATCTTCTGTTTTCAGGCATTCCATTTTGATCGGGCTGACATCGCTCTACCAGGATTCTACAAGTTTATGATGGAAGCATCAGAGAAAGAGAAAGAAGGTGCTATGAAACTGATGAAGTATATGAACAAACGAGGTGGATGGTTCAAACTTAGACGAATTGTAAGTTAGCTTTTAAAAGCACACCCATAAGAATATATTTTCAGAACCATTGATTATTCTTCAGTAGACCCAGCTATCATTAATATCAAAAGGTTCTAGGATGCAACAATTCTTGAAGTTGCGATTCGATACACTATACAATACTCATCTACCGATACGATTTATTACGATAATTATCGCGATTCATTTATTAGTGAAGGAAAGAGTAAAAGGCAGTAGGAATTAGTATATTTTTAACAAAATTGTTACTATTTAGATGTGAAAATCATACTTGGAAAATGAAAACATGACACAATTTCTTATACACACAAGGATTCTTCGTGTCATTTGTTATTAAAGGGGCTAAGAATTAATCGTGCCCATACATCACGATTAATTTTATCCACAGCAATGCATCGATAAGAAGGAAAGAATCGCGGTTCATCGATTCATCGTTGCAGCCCTAAAAGGTTCCAATAAACGCTGAAAAATTGACACAAGAAAAATCTTACAATGCAACATTCATGAAGTGAGGGTATATAAATATAATATTTATAGACTCAATGATGTTCTGTAATCTATCCAACTATCACTGATTTTAATATGACCTTATAAAATCTGAATACAATGACATTTATTTTTAAAGAAGAACCTTACAATGCAATACAACATTCACGAGGGCCACTCAACACAAAGTTGCCAATAAGGATTAAGTTAATTTGCCCCAAAATGGCCGCAATTAATATTAATGTGATCTTTGACGGGTCCGACACTAGAAAGTTTTCTTTGAACAGTTTTAAGTTATTGCCCTTGACTTAGCCGAAATCTTGTCAACATGTGAACCTGATTACCTGGCATCCTGTCCCAACCTAAGAGTCATTAACTTAGTTTAACTTATTGCAGGTAGCTGAAGAAAGAGCCTGGTCAAATGGTCTTGATGCCTTACAATTTATGTTGGAACATGAGAAAATGATGAACGCAAACTTCTTGTACACCAGGCAAATAGCAGACGAATCCGGCGACGCACACGTAAGTTAAAATAAGTGTTGTTTTAAACATACAAAGGACAATAATCCAATTGGATATTTACATTTTGCTTTTCTAAATTTGTCAAATTAAGACTGAAAAAATCGAACAACATTTTGGGTTTATATTCCATTGGGTATAAAATACACCAGTGCCATCTCTGCCCACAACTAATAGAGCAACATCCTATCAGATTCACTATGAAACTACATGTTCAACTTTCCTGTATCGAAATATTTTAAAGTATTTTTTGAACTATTTTTCAGTTGAGTGATTTTATAGACGAAGAATTCTTGGTACCAAGAGTAAAGTTTATCAAGAAAATAGCCGACTATATTAGTCAACTGAAATCTTTCTCTAAGGATTATCATCTGGGTGAATACATACTGGATGAAAATTTATAAACTGAGAAAAAACAGAGCAGACAGACTTGGAATTTAATTTTCAAATATGGTCTCACAACATAATACCTGAAAACCTTGGAAAATACTTGGAATAATATGCACAAAAAAAAACATTAAAGAAAGAAAAATCTACAAGAAACTCTTAATGTTAAAATTTAGCAGTTTTTATGCTAAAATATACATGTATGGGTGGGTCCGTAAGGGAAAGGGGTATCAAGAGCTGAACCCACAGTATAGTAAAACCCATAAAATTTAGTCTATAAAAAATTAAAATTGTCCGGGGACCGGAAGTGACGACTGAGAACTGCGTGCACAGTGCTTGAACCAGTTTTCTGGTTGAAATATGTGATTTTATTTTTTTTATATAATTTTTAAATTGTTATAAAACGATAAAATACGAGTAAATGATATTATGAATATTTAATAATGTATTTTATGTCACTGGATGCAAATTTATTTATACAAATTTTAACAAAAATATCTTTAACAAATAAATCTGATCTATTTGGTTTTTTTTCCAATAGGGGTTAAGGGGGCTGGGGCGATTTATTAAAGGGGCACTCTATTTTTTTCGTTGGTCAAATATTTTTTTATGTCTAAAATTTATGAAAATTATCTACCAAAATCTGCAGAAATGTGTTCATGAATTTACTTGAAAGTTTGAATTTAAAAAATCCGGCCGTTAACTTTTTAACGCAAAAACTATTTGAAAGGTTTACGTAATTTTTTAAGTTCGTTATACTGTTTGGAAGCTGTTATAAAACTATTGCACGGATTTAAGCAAAATAAACGCCAAATTGCAGAACAATATATCTCCTACGTATTCTAAAGGTTTCAAATTTATTGAGTCTTTATAACACCAAAACTACGAGCAATATCCATTCATTACTCATTGCTGTAACAATACGAATTTTGTGCAATTGTTAAGTTCCGGTTTGATCAATTTGAATGTTTTGGACTTAATACCTACCCTTCCTATTAAAAAGATAGTTTACATATTCCTAGATACAAAGAGTCCTTTAATGAACGAAAGCAAAAGATAAAGTACATGAGACGACTTCTCAAGTTGCACAAATCTTAAAAACTCCCCGAGAAGGAACAATTTGTTTCGCTAGCTACACTTGTTTCTGCCAGAAAATAAGCAGAAGTGAACCGGAACGTTGTAATAGCAGACGACATCTGTTTTTAAAATACGTCACTAACTACCTCATTTATTTCGTGTAAACATTTTCGTTTCGATGATTTTTATAACGGGCAGAAATGTAATTGTAGTGTTTGACGCGAGTATATTAGGTACAGTGAATAATGTATCATATTCTTTATTAGTGGAGTTTGACGCGAGCAGAACTCGGTTCTTTCGGTATACTTTCTTCTGTAGAAACATAACATTTTCTTTGAAACTGATACACATTATGATGCAAGTTTCATCCTAAATCGAGATTTCATAGTACAGAAATACTGAATTATTTCAGCAACTGTTAAGCATGTTGGAGGAGCGTAAACCATATTCGTAACAGTGATTTAATTTGACTCCATACTGCTAAGAATTCAGAGATTATAAATTTCTGTTTCAGTACGAAGACATGTTTCTGTTTAACAGTTTCAAATACCCATTTCCGAACCTTTAGTGCTCTTTTTCAGAATTGACACCAAATGTTTGATTCAGGATTCAGGTTGAAATAGAACTATGTTCAATCTCTTTGTGGATCATTTTCTCCGCCACGCAACAACCCTTCCTCATGTCCGATAAATGAAAAGGCTGATGGAGATGATGAAGGTTGTATCTCTCTTAGAATGAGGAATGATGATTCCAGACGTGTCAGATTCTTCAGCCCCGATGAAATATCACATTTGACCAGTGAATAGTGGGGATTCTGTATGGAGAAACACTTGATACTACGTCACGCTCGTCTGCTCGACTTCACTTGACGTCACGTTCTCGTTTTTCAAAACCATTGGTCTTGTAAGAATACAACACCAGATACAAACGGTCTACGGTTTTGCTTTTCAAATCATTTTCAATCAGACGTCAGTGGTTCCGGCAATTCCACTAAAACTTAGTGTTTGATGACGTCACTAACCGGCCTTATATTATAATGCAAATTAGTGACGTCATCAAACACTTATTCTTTGAGGAATTGCAGGAACCACAGGCGTCTAATTGAAATTTGAAATGTAACAAATTTAAGCCTTCAGTGTCCCCGGTGCACATGAAAAATTAAGTAAACCTCTTTACAATCCCTTTTAGTGTTCATATGGGGTATGTTTGTGGTCATTTTTAATCAATTTACAGAACTGTTGAGCGGTTCCAAGGGAAAAAGAAAAATTCTAATCAAAAATAGTATTACCGGCATCTTATTCGACATTAGTTGAAAAGCATCAACTGTTTCAGGAAGGCTATCTGTTTGCAATAATGTTGCCAATGGTAAATTGAGGCTCGTTATTACGTGAAATGAGATGAAATTATCTTACCTCTAGATCACTGTGGTAACAGGATTGAAAATTGAACCCCCAAAAGATCTAGGTTTTACTCCCTGAGCCATCGCGGATCCCTACTAAGAGATTATACTTACGAAAATCTTAATTATTTATATCAATGTGGTGTTATTTCCACTGCACCATCTTACACGAAGGTAATTTAAAAATCATAATATTTCTATTAATTGTTTTTTTTAGATATTTGTTTGTAAATTTCAATAAGTGAAGCCGTTAAAAGAAACAAATTAACACTAAAATTACAAGTCAGGGATTCAAAATAGTGGAAAATGTTTTAAATCTGAAGCTTGCCACGTAGAAATAAACAATTTAATCAAGTTTACTAATATTCACTTAGTTACTCAAAACATCCTCTTCCAAACTACAAATCATTGATAATCATGGCTGGGCGTGTGCCATTTATATTACTGTAGTCTGTAGTTTATACAGATTATGTCCCTTGGTTGAGTCAGTTAATGGCTTTAGGGACCCGCTCCAGTGATTAATTATTATGGTAGTCCGTGCTTTTTTTTTAGAAATCCTCTTTCTCCCTCCCTTTTGGAGGCTTTGCATGCCTATATTCGTTTTCAACGAGATTTCTGGAAAAAGTTATAGAAGGTTGAATTTCGTGATTTAACATGGAAATAGATAGCAATTGATATACCGGAATGTGTCCTGTTTACTGTCAGTGCTCTTTCAATGGAAATAATAGTACTGAAAGTCTGATTACTGAGAATGACTTTACATTGATAATAATACAAAGTTTGTTAGCTTATTTAATAAAAGTAATAAAATGAACCGAAAATATCTCAAATTGTTTTTGAAATTGTTCTTGAAGTTATATCAAACTGTGCCTATTTCATTCTAAGACTATCAGAATTGTTATAAATAGTTAAAAGATGTAGATGTTTGGTAATATTCAATTTCTGAAATTTTGTCCAATTTTAGACCTTCCAAAAGAACAGATATAACGTAAATCTAGCTCACGATTGTCTTCAATATGGGCTGCCACTTTATGAATATCACCATAGTTACCAACTCGGGTAACTCGACCAAATCGGGTTCTTGGACAATTTTGAATAAATTTCGAGCAATTGACGACTGCTGGTGACTTTCAGTTTGCTTTTGGCAATTGAAAGGGCACCAGGCGCGCCCAAAATACAAAAGGGGTACACAAAAGTCACTTGTCTTACATGGGCATATTTTTGTCAGGTGTTTATTATCTCTAGGGGAAACACTGAGCTGCGCAATAATGAGTGAGTATCGGACACAGGTATAAAAAATCATAGAAAAACAAACGTCATTTTAAAGATGTATCTTTAATTCAGAAGAAAACTTGATTGAAATTAAAAAAAAAACATATCAAAGGCACATGATGTAAATTTGAAGGCTATGGAAGGTGGAGTGGCTTTTTATTCCATATTCGTCATAGCTATGCATGAAATTTGAATAAAGAGCCATTCTGCCTTCCATAGAAGGCACCTTAAAGTTAAAGGCACAAAATGATTGAAGGCACCTTGTAGTTGAAGGCACATCTGGCATTGCAAATCTGTATAATAATACTAAACCATTAATACACCCAGAAATATAAAATATACCTTCACCAAACTTGTCTTTATTCATATTTTGTAACTAATTGTTTCAAAACCATTTTCAACTATGATATGAACAAATAAATTAAAAATGAAACCCCCAAAAAGTATTAACCCCAAAATGACGACATTGGTAGAATTCAATATGCTTGCCGTATTAAATATTTGTTTTAACAGCTGATTAGAAGCACAAGATGAATATTCTATTTCTGGCATTTATTAACTCTACGTTTCATATGCTCATACAGACAGTGTTATCAGATATTATATAGAATCACTAGATATATAGATATACTATTTCCAACATTTATTAACTCAACGTTTAACATCTTCATACAGACAGTGTTATCAGATATTATATAGAATCACTAGATATATAGATATACTATTTCCAACATTTATTAACTCAACGTTTAACATCTTCATACAGACAGTGTTATCAGATATTATATAGAATCACTAGATATATAGATATACTATTTCTGTATTTATTAACTCTACGTTTCATATGTTCATACAGACAGTGTTATCAGATATTATATAGAATCACTAGATATATAGATATACTATTTCTGTATTTATTAACTCTACGTTTCATATGTTCATACAGACAGTGTTATCAAATATTATATAGAATCACTAGATATATAGATATACTATTTCTGGCATTTATTAACTCAATGTTTCATATGCTCATACAGACAGTGTTATCAATAGAAATAATATAACCAATTACATCTATATAGCTTGTGATTCTTTACCTATACCTACAAACAGTCGATTAGATTAGACTTTTGAATGAAAATTTGGCTTAATCTATTCGATTTAGTTTGACGACTGCAATGTCGATTACCGATGTATAATTAGGGTGTGTTTCAACACTGAATTTGTCAACCATGCTAAAATACAACATTGTGTTCATACTTTTGGCAC